TCAGAAAGCGATACCGCAAAAATTACTCATAGAAATATTATTAAAAGCAACTGTAAGAGTGAGTCATTTTTTTTTTGTTCTGCTAGCCGTTGGTCTCTAATCTTGTGTTGCACTTCTGTCTAATGTTTCGTGGCTTATGCGTGGTGTATGTATTGCATCAGTTTATCGTTTAATTAGCATATGTTATTTCAGCTACTCTGAAGTATTATATTATTGATCTATGAGTTATCTATTTCTCATTACTTGTTGATTTCTACCATATTTGCAAAAAATCTGTGCTCTGAGGTTGTTTCATTCTACAAATTTCTTTCCCTTCTCATTTTCCTCCTTGAAATCCAAGTCCTAAGATCCAAAGAGAGGGAAGAGATCATTTAGTAACATGGATTTTTTGAACAAACTGCAGTTGGCTGCCATGTTACATTGACGTATTTAATAAGTAGCTCTTGGGATGCTTTTAGATATTTATTGCCCTATATATATATAATTTTTATTTTTTGAGTACGGGTATTTACTCTTGCTGATGGTTGCCTTGTCAAATGGCAATAGCTGGCGACTGGTTGCAGGGTCCATATGTTTATTACCTTTACACTACTTATGGCTTTGGGAAGGGGGAAATTGGACAGCTCTTTATCGCAGGATTTGGATCTTCCATGTTGTTCGGTACAATTGTTGGATCTCTGGCAGACAAACAGTGAGATATTTTATACCAGAATCATTTAAAGATATTGTTTCTATTTCATAGAAAATTTTGACACGTGTTTCTTAATGAAATTTCAGGGGACGCAAGAGAGCTTGTGTGACTTATTGCATAACGTATATATTGAGCTGCATAACTAAGCACTCTCCTCAATACAAAGTTCTTATGCTGGGACGTATTTTAGGTGGTATTGCTACATCTCTTTTGTTTTCAGCATTCGAGTCATGGCTTGTGGCAGAACACTTCAAGGTGAGTGCACACCCCTGCCACCCCTTATATATTATGGTGACGGGTAATTTGGCCAGCCATAGCCATTCTGAATTGGTTAAAGCACTTATAAATGCTCACCTCTTTCCCATCTAAAGAATATCATTCCATTGTGAATTATGTGAAAGATAATTTCATCTACGTTTCATTTTTATCAAGAGTAGTGCTTTAAGAATATGACTACTATTGAAGCTACTCCGCTTTACAATATTGATGCTATTATTCTGTTTCATGTATGGCAGAGGGGTTTTGATCAGCAATGGCTCTCATTAACTTTCTCTAAGGCAATTTTTCTTGGAAATGGTCTTATTGCTATTATCTCTGGGTTGTTTGGAAATCTGCTTGTTGATACCTTCAGTCTTGGGCCAGTATCACCCTTTGATGCTGCTGCCTGCTTTCTAGCTATTGGAATGGCCATAATATTATCATCATGGAGTGAAAATTATGGGGACGCTTCAGAGAACAAGGATTTACTTACTCAGTTCAAGGGTGCAGCTGTAACAATTGCTTCAGGTAGATTTCGAGTTCTGCTCTATGTTGTATGATGTACTCTTGGCTGAGGAAATTTCTACAATCTGCAAATCTTTTAAGGAGTGGATTGCAAAACTGAAATCATTTCAGTTTTTGAATCCTGTCCGCCAATTTTTCGCCTAGAGTAGAAAGATTAAAATTGCATATCCTGTATTTCGTGTCACCATTGTAGGTTTTGTCCACTAAGTCTTGTGTGGATACTTTCAAGTCACAGATCTGGCATCGTTTGCTTAATATGTTTTCATATAAATAATTGATTTTTTTTTTTTTT